TATATCTTTAAAAATTTATCACCAGCAATGTAATTATTTGGTAGAAAGAAAAGCTTGAGCATGTCAACAGATCAAACTAATATTTTTCTTTTATTTTTTAAGAATTATTTTTAACTTATTTGAAAAGCAGTATCAGAGAGAGAGAGAGAGAGAGAGAGAGAGAGAGAGAGAAATTTCCATTTGCTGCTTCAACTCTAATCAAATGCCTGTAACAGCTAGGACTCAGGACAAATTCCAAAGCCCAGGGCTGTTTCTAGGTCTCCTACGTGAGTGCAGGGACTAAGTACTTGGGTCTCTCCCTTCCCTTGCCTTCCCTCCCTTCCTTTCCCTTCTCTTCTCTCCCCTCTGCTCCTCTTCTCCCCTCCCCTCCCTTTTTTCCTTTCCCTTCCCTTCCCTTCTTCCTTCTCCTCCCTTTCCTCCTTCCTTCTTTCCTTTCCTTTTATATTCTTTCTTCTTCTTTTTAAAACTTGTTTTTATTGGAAAGGCAGATTTACAGAGAGAAGGAAACCAGAGAAAAAGACACTATGTCCACTGGTTCACCCTCCAAGTGGACGCAATGGCTGGAGCTGAAATGATCAGAAACCAGGAGCCTCTTCCGGGTCTCCCACATGGGTGCAGGGTCCCAAAACTTTGGGTTGTCCTCAACTGCTTTCCCAGGCCACAAGCAGGGAGCTGCATGGGAAGTGGAGCAGCCAGGATACAAACTGGCACCCCTATGGAATCCTGGCATGTGCAAGGTAAGAAGTTAGCCACTGAGCTATTGTGCAGGAGTGTGCCATTTTCCATTGTTTTTTTCCCAACCATTGGCAGTGGAGCTGGTTCAGAAGTGGAGCAGCCAGGACAGGAACCAATACCCATATGTGTGTTGCTGGTGAGTCAGATGCAAGTTTAATCTATTAAACTATAATGCAGATCCCCCTATTTTTTTTAAAGATTCATTTTTTTAAATTGCAAAGTCAGATATACAGAAAGGAGAGACAGAGAGGAAGATCTTCCATCTGATGATTTACTTCCCAAGTGACCATAACAGCCAGAGCTGTGCTGATCCTAAGCCAGGAGCCAGAAACTTCTTCCAGGTCTCCGACATGGGTGCAGGGTCCCAAAGGCTTTTGATCATTTTTGCCTGCTTTCCCAGGCCACAAGCAGGGAGCTGGGTGGGAGGTGGGGTTGCCAGGATTAGAATCGGCGCCCATAAAGCCCAAAGCAAGTAAATGAGCCCAGTCTTGTGTTTTATCTAAAGATAGAAACTCAGCCTTGTCATTTAATATGCTGAGAGAAACAGAAATCGGCAGAGTTTACTTCAGTTACCATAAATTAAAAATATAAGGTTTCACAGTCTGAGGGATTCTAACACATGAACGAATGCAATGAAGCAGAGGGGGAAAGATCAAATATAAGATGCAGAACTAACAGCTGTGAATTACTAAGTTCACAAATGCGGTAGATAAAATTAAGTTTTTTAAAAAAGCATTGGGAAACATGACTGAATATGAAGTGTAATACTGCAACAATGTGGAGGAATCCAACATGGGCGGAGAGCATGGGGAAGGGTTGGGGGAATCTCAAAGCCTATGAAACAGTGTCATAAAATGAAATTTTTTAAAAAAGCACTGGAAAGTCTGCAGCTCACAAGTTACTAACACACCAATCAGAAACATATGCAACGCGCAATCAGTCTCATTCCATACTGAAACAAAGGACTCCTTGGTGAAAATGGGCACTTTTTTTTCATTTGCAGGTATGATTAAGGCAGAGAAAGTGACAATAGTTATGCCTGAAGTAAAGGGTCCCCTAACTTGACATAACATTGTCTAAGCAAGCTATCTAACTCTGTGACTAAAATTAAAGTTTGTTTATCTCTTATTCAATATCATTTATTCCACAACAAAATACTGCTCAGATCAGCTAATGCCCAAGCAAAGGAATATAAATCCAATAATTAGCATTAAGTGGTACTTTAATTTTTGAGGACCCTTACCAGATTCAAATGTGCAATTATCATTTCAAATTATTAAATAATTAAAAGTGCATAAATACTCACAAGTCTATTTAATTTTATATTTCTTGCATTTCCAGATAGAAAACCAGAATTACCAAATACTCAGAGGATTAAATTTGTGATTAAAACGTAGATTTTTATAAGCTGAGCAATAATTATACTCTCTTTGGAAGAGTAGCTATCAATAGTTTCCATCCCTGACATACTTGTTTTTTTTGTCAGAACACATCAGAGAGATTCCTCATTTACTCATCTCTCCATCTTCTGTTTATACTTGCTAATCCCCAAACTCTGTTTTCAAAACTATCCCCAAACTCCTAATTTCTTCCCTGTTGGAGTTTCTACTCCTTCCTTTGTAGTAATTGTGGACCCCCGGGGGGTAAGGAGTCAGAAGGACAAATAACTAATGCATAAAAACTTCTGGTGCAGAAGAAAGTATCTGGTTGAGGTTACTTTCCTTCTCAATAATGGTTATTAGTTATTATTGTCCTATTACATATATGTCTACCAGGCTGTACTGTTTTAATTTAAGTATCATGATTCTGAGTTACTTATGTAGTTGATTTTATCTTTTAATGTTTAGAAGAAAAATTACTATTTATTTAAAAGGCAGTTCTACAAAGAGCAGCAGAGACAAAGAGATAGATTTTCTATCTTCTGGTTCACTTCTCAAATGGTCACAACAGCAAGAGCTGAACTAATCTGAAGCCCAGAGATTTTTCTAGATCTCCCACGTGGGTGCCATAAGCCTGGAGCTGAAATTAGGAATAGAGCAGCCGGGACTAGAACTTGCACTCACTTGGGATGTCACTGCTTGCAGACTGAGGATTAGCCTATTGAGCCACTGTGCCAGCTGCTATTTTGTCCTTTTAACTCATTATTATAACGCCTATCACAAATCTTGAAGAACTGGTGTAACCCAGGAATGGGTTCAAGATGAATTTTGCGCTTCAACATTCCTTCAAAGTTTACCCAAGTAAGTAAGTTAAACACAAATAAAATGTACAGAAAAGAATACAGTGCCTGTTAGAAATTGATTGGACAAATATAGATAAACAGAAAGCAACCTTTTTCATTACCAAATAGCCAAGGAAAGATACATTAATACATTTGCATTGATGCGGAAGTAAAAAAGCATTTAGTAATTAATTTCATTAGCATATGTAAGACAGCATCTTATCTAGGTAGCTCTAAAGATGCTGGAAATGACCAAGATACACAATAATATCAGAAACACTCTCAGAATCAATGAAAACAAATGCTAACAAACAGCTTCTGAGTCTGGAGTTGGCTGTTTATTATCCTAAATCCCAAGACTGAATTCAAACTTCATTGTATGAGGAAAGAGAATTCTTGCAAACATTGCCCCCTTTAACCTGTACATATTGAAACACTCTCTACAATGCTGTCAAAAGGTATGACATTACACAAGATCATGAGGATGTTTCTAAACCCTGAATAGGACTGTAGGTGACAATTATAAAGCAAAGAAGAGGAACACCAAATCATTAGGATAATTTAGCCCCTGCAAAGGGCAATACCATTATTCATAACATTAGAATAGTAATTCTCTCATAATTGGTAAAGGCGAATGAGACAAATTATATGAAAGCATTCTATAAGCCATAGTGGATATTTGAAATTTAAACAGCATTTTGTTAATTGGAACTTCTATTATTTTAAAGAAGCTAGTAAACAAAACATTGCTCATTTAGACCAACACAAATGTGTCCCATGAACTGGCTGAAAGGATTTATTCATAGTATATATTTAAGAGGATGGTGAATGGCAGTGACTGGATTCCCAAGTCCCTCTCTCTTGAATTTTATGAGACCCATTCAGCATGAGCCAGGTTGAGAATACCACTAATTCCATGTTCTGGGTCCATCTGTTGGCAAAAATATAAGGCAAACAGCTTTATATGCGCTATTTTCAATGAAATATCACAGAACAGCTTGTCCCAATGATATTTCTAAAGCTTGCCTCCAAACCGCCTACTGGGAAATCCAAGTGAAAGAGAAGGGGGAAGCAAAAAAATTAATGCAGGCAAGTGACAGAAATGGAAAATGAAAAAAACAAATGCAGGGTGAAGACTAACTAGAGGGATGTGAACCCAGAGGAAAATCAGTAGCAATGAGAGATGCAAGCTCAAATGCAGACAACAGTAGAAACTGTCACGCACGGAAAACCTGAAGAAAAATCTTGGATCGGTGAGATCGACGTCTGATCGACAGCATTTCAGAACTACCGAAATCACTTAAACAGATCCCTCAGAAGAGGTTCCACCCGGGTTGATGTCAGGTGGCCACTTCCCATCGCTGGACCCTGGGGCAGTCGGGGGTCTAGGTGTGATTTCTCCCCCTACCCCGGACACAAGAGGAAGAAAAAGAAAATTTGGAAACAATGGCCTCACCCATTTTCCCCCTAACTCTTGATCCTTCCCATGCTGATCAACTTATGTAAACCTCATCAAAAAAAAAAAAAAAAAAAAGAAAAAACCTTAGATTTGGACAATATAGAAGTGAGTTCCACTTTACCAGATATAGGGGAAAAAATGTGGAAATAATAGTCTTAACCACTTTCCTGGAGCCCTTGAGCCTTTGTGCCCTAATTAACCATGTAAAGATTGTCAAAAAAGAAGTGAGTTCCCCATCCAGAATAGAAACCAAAGAAACGGGGGTACCAGGACCACAGAAGAGCTCAATACTTGGAACTTAGTTACTAAAATGATGAGAGATACAAAAATATTTGAAATAGTCATTTTTCTGTGCTTCTCTAGTTATTCACATAATATGTATGATTACTATTCCGAAAGCTAAAGCAGAGATCAGTACCTTTAGTCAACAACAAAGGAAGCAAACTTCCTTTTCTGAGTCCTTATAATTCAAAACTCCATGGACACACCAAAAATGTATCCAGACAGTGTAATGTAAGCGGTGTATGCTCGCCGATCCAAAGCCAAGAGACATTACAGTGCAGATGATTCATTCTGGGTACTTACCTGGGGTCGAATAACTTTCACAATGTTTTTGAGGGCAGTGTCGGGGGATGGAGGTGAGCAGTCAGGAGTAGGGCCTGTTGAGCTGTTTCTATGGTTACTAGTTCCTGGAGCAGTAATTGCTACCTCAGAGGCATTATCTGTGAATAAAAATAGAACTGCCATGAACCTAATTACTGATCACTTGGTTTACCTATTAGGATCTGAAATTACTTTAGTGACAAAAGTAGTATCAATGACAAGATCATAATGAGGAATATGCTTGGCAGATTTTACATAATGTTTTTTGAATACTTTGTTTGCTTTTGAAAAAAATGATTTATTTATTTGAAAGGAAGGGTTGTAGAGAAAATGAGAGGAAAAGACAGAAAGAGGGAGAGAAGTGAGAGTGAGTATGTGAATGAAACATCTTTCACCTGTTTGTTCACTCCCCAAAAGGCTACAATGGTTGGAACTGGATTGGCGTGAAGCTAGGAGCCAGGAGCTTCCCCTGGTCTCCCATGTGGATGCCCATGTGGATGCAGGGGCTAAAACATTTGCACCGTTTTCTGCTGTTTTCCCAGGTGCATTAGCAGAGAGCTGGGTCAGGAGTGGAGCAGATGTGACTTGCTGCTGCTGCTTAGCACTGGATCTGCTCTTTATTTATTATTATTTTTTTAAATGGCCAAGAGCACTAATTGTGGTACTGTTCCAAGAAGAGGAGTGTTATTATTCAATTCATAATGACACCTTTTCAGATTGCACCAGTATATGAAAGACACATGATTATATTAAAGCTCTTTACATAGTAGTGTTAAAAGTCGCTGACTCATATCCAAATTCAAACCCCTTCAAATCACTATTCTCAGTAATCCCTCAATCATGGAAAAGTATCCGAATGAATGAACTTGGATAAAAGGCTGGCTTTCGTGCAAAACAGCCTTACAATGTGAAAAAAAAAAACTGAAACAAAAACAATAATAAGCCTCATTTCTACCTCCTAGTTCAGCATATCATCTGATTCAGTCAAAATAAAATGAATAAAATACCAAAATCAAAATTAATCTTCCCTATGTGCAATATTTTTTTTTGAAATTTACACTTAAAAGTCAAAGGTACAGTTTAAAATATTTAGGAAAGGTAGAAAATATTCTATTTATAACTTCCACCATCACATAAAATGTCACACTATTTTAATGGCAATTTGCAACATTCTATAACTTTTTATTGGAAATGCTGAAAACTCAAACCTGCAAATAGTTTACTTCTCTATTATATTTTTAATTAGTTCCCAATAATTTTCTATCCTGGGAAGTCAGCTGAATGGATGCAAAAGAGAATGTGATTTTTAATTCTTTATAAACCAGCAGATTTTTCTGATCTGTAACCACTGTCTAGAAAGCAAAGTGAAAAGCAACAACTTATAAAGGCGTTCATTGTTCATAAAACTCAAGAGGATGAATTCTACCCACCACATAGAAATATAATTTAGTCTCACTGGAGAACCTAGACATTTACTTGTGAAGCAAAAAAAAAAAAAAAAAAAGTTTCAATTGTGATACACTGAATTAGATGGCTAGTTAAAAAAAAGTCTTAAAACTTTCCAGAAAACACTTTGATGCGTAATAAATAAAGTGAAATTTGAACTGGTATTTCAGAATAGGTGGAGTGTTCTTCTGAGTAGGAAAGAAAAGTCTGAGTATGTATTGAAACCATAAAAGGAGTCAGCAAGACAATGACAAAATTATCTGAATCTCTTCAATTTGTCCTTTCTTTGTTTCATTCATGCATAGACCCATCTGATTACACATTTCTTGGAGGCAATCACATGCATCCAATACTATCTTATCTGCTAAAAAAGAAGAGGACTAGAGAAACAAATGGGCAAATATGGGTTCCCAGGACTTTAGCTCGATATCGTCATGAAGTTGAAATTGTTTTAAAAATAAAACCTACTTAAAGTTTTGTTACAAAAAAAAAAAAAAGATTCCCTGTCCTTCAGAAAATACAATCAAGTGTGGCAGTGGACATAAAAATTATAACGTGCCATAACTTGAGAAATAATGATAGAACAAAGATAAAAACGCTGCTGTGAGAAGAATCAGATTGGCAGGAGGCAAGTTAGTTGTAAAAGTCTACATACTTCAAGCAAGAAAAGTCTAAGAAAACATAAGACATAAGGGCATGAGAGTGGGAAGAACATAGCTGAAGCTGTTATCTTGTGTCAGGAAGAAAAAAGAGGCAGTTTTGGAAGAGTGAAAGGAAGCTTAAAGTTGATTCTATAAGCAATAAAAACTACCAAATATTGAGAAATGAGTAACAAGTAATTACGATGATGATAATGATGATAATGAAAAAGATGGCATCCAACTTTATTGTTCTTTAATATTTATTTTTATTCATTTGTCAAAGAGAGAGAAATGCTTGTGGGTGCCAGTGTCCAAAGATTGGCCATCCTCCATGGCTTCCCAGGCACATTAGAAGGGAGCAGCCAGGACACAAAAGTTAGGGTTGCGGGCTGCAGCTTTTACTTGCTCTGCTGTGTCAGCCCCATGTAGCCGACTTCTGTTGAGCCTTAACTGTGTACAGATGACATATTAAATCCCTTTGTGAAAAGATTCTCATTTACTCTTCAAATTAGCTGATGAAACAGGTTCTTCTACTACCATCCACATTTTACAGGGAAACTCATCCTAATTTTCATTAACTAGAAGTCTTGAAGTTTCAGATTGATGCCACATTGCCTTTCTACAGAACAGCATGTCATAAGCATGCAAAAGTGATTTGGGACATGAAAGCAGATCATCGGGCCCATTAAAACAGTCAAGGTTAGAACATTCATCACCTGCACATAGAGTCACACCAACACAGAAACTTCCTATGGAATATAGAGACAATAAAAAAGAAATGATAGACAGAAAAAAATCAATCATTAAACATCTTTTGGCATATTTACATGTTAAATATGGCATAATACCTCCAAACAGAATGATTAGTTAGGGCTTGTGAGCCAGCTAGAGGACATGGTTCTTGTTGGAACAAGGTTGAGTTGGACATAAAAGTTTAGATTCCAGATATGTGTTGAAGGTAGACTAAGAATTTCTTGATGTACGCAGAAAAGTCAAAACAATAAAAAGAAAAACTGGAAACATACTGACTTCAAAATATAATACAAAAAAGTCAGAATATCATTAACCTAAACCAGACCAATACAACATAGCAAGGATTCTTAAATAAATCCACCTATTTCCGCTCAGTGTTTTTTTTAAACAAAGGTATCAAGATACACAAATTAGGGGCAAGGATAGTCTGAATAAACACTGGTGTTAGGGCCGGTGCAATGACTCAGTGGCTGACCCTCCACCTTCAAGTGTGGCATCCCATATGGGCACTGATTCAGGTTTCAGCTGCTCTACTTCCCATCCAGCTCCCTGCTTATGTCCTTGGAACGCAGCTGAGGACGGCCCAGTCCCTTGGGACTTTGTGCCCACATGGAAGATCTCAAAGAAGCTCTTGACTCCTGCCTTTGGATCAGCTCAGCTCCAGGTGTTACGGCCATTTGGGAAGTGTAACAGCAGAAGTAAGAACTCTCTGTCTCTCTTCTCTGTAAATCTTCCTTTCAAATAAAAATAAATATATCTTTGAGAACCAATAAACAAAAAACAAACAAACGCAATCTTCAAACCCCATGGCAAATATGAATTATGTAAAAAACTATGCATAGAAACCAAAAAAATCTCAAGTCAATATATAATTTTATTTCCATGTATACATGCAGGTTTTGAATTCCCCTCACAGATACCCAATGAAACACATTCCATCTTAAGACGCAAACAATTTTTTTTCTTTTAGAATATGGAATGTGTTACTCCATTCTCTTTTGGCCTGTAGAGTTTCCTGTGAGAGTTCTCTTGTCATTTTAATTGACATTCCTTTACATGTCAGTTGATTTTTTTCACGTGCACATTTAAAGATCTTCTCCTTATGTTTAATTGGAGAAAGCTTGACCACCATGTGTCATGGTGAAGACTGCATTTGGTCAACCCTGTTGGGAGTTCTGTGCCCCTCCTAGATGGTGCTTCCCAATTCTTTCTCCAGATTAGAGACGTTTTCCTTTACTATTTCACTGAATACATTTTCAAACCAGTTTCTTTTTCTGCACTTTCCAGAACTCCCAAAACTCTTTGGCCTTTTAAAAGTGTCTTTTAATTCCTGAATACTTTGTTCAGCTTGACCCAGCTCTGCTTCCAGCTTTTTGATTGTTTCTCCATTGTGACAGGAAATATCTTCCAATTTCGAGATTCTTTCATCTGCCTTCTTCATTTTATGATTGAGACTTTCTGCTGAATTTTTAATTTGCTCTATTGCATCCTTCATTTCCAATAATTTGGCTCAATTTTGTTTCAGTGCTGCTATTTTCTGTGACATATTCTTTTAAAGATTTTTTTTTTAATTTTTTATTGGAAAGGCGGATATGCAGAGAGGAGAGACAGAGAGGAAGATCTTCCGTCCAATGATTCACTCCCAAGTGAGCGCAACGGCTGATGCCATGCCGGTCCAAAGCCAGGAACCTCTTCCGGGTCTCCCACGTGGGTGCAGGGTCCCAAAGCTTTGGGGCGTCCTCGACTGCTTTCCCGGGCCACAGGCGGGGAGCTGGAAGGGAAGCAGGGCTGCTGGGATAGAACCGGCGCCCATATGGGATCCCCGGGGGGTGTAAGGCGAGGACCTTAACCACTTGCGCCACCGCACCAGGCCCGACATATTCTTTAAATTCCTTGACTCTTGTATGTACTTCTCATTGTTGATATGAAGCTTTATATATAATGAGTTTTCTGAATTCTGTATCCCCCATTTTCTCTATGTCTTCCTGAGTTAAATCTGAAGTTGGCAACAGCTTTTTATTCCTTTGCAGGGGAGTCTTCAGTAATATTCAATATCCCTCTGTCTCTTCTTTTGCTCTTGGTCATTGTACTTCTGGTTATCAGATTCTTCTCCTTAGGAAGGTAGCTAAGCTCTGTTATCCACAGGTCTACAATTCGATTTTACTTATCACGGTTGCTACCCAGTTCTTTGTTTACAGTCACTTGTGGCACTCCAGTAGGTTTCAGGTCTAGGCTCTTGTGTTAGACTTCCACCATGGTCTGTGTAGCCCCAGCTCCTG